AGACTGAGGCAGAAGGATCACCTGAGCCCAGCAGGTTGAGGCTGCGGTGGCCATGAGAGTGCCACTGCCCTCCAGCCTGGGAGACAGAGTGAGACTCCAACTCAGTAAATAAATAAATAAATGGCTTTTCCAAGAATGCAATGAATAAATGAAGGACAAAGGTTTTAAAAAAACAGAAACTACTACACATAAATTCAAAAAGTGCAAAGGTATAAAAAAGGTATACAGTTAAAATTTTTCCCTCCTCCCTGGAAGAGACAAACCACTGTCACAAGTTTTTGGTATATTCTTCCAGAGAAAGTCTATGCATATGCAAGCATTTGCATATATATGTACATGTATTATATATACATGCTTGTGATATAGATATACAATTTCTCCTCCTTTGGAGCTGGGATTTGAATCAGACCTGTGTGACTCTGGAGTATATGCCCATTTCTCCAGACTCACAGCCTCTCAGGCCACAGAAGAATTGAGAAATGAAGGAATAGTTCTCACAATAGCGCATCGTTCAACTCTGGAAAGGTGCCAGGTGCCTAGGAAAAAGTGAGGACTGGGCGTGGGGAGAGGTCATCAAAAGACTCAGAATAAAGTCTAACTTTATTCCTGAACAAGTCCTTCCCTTCACTGGGCCTTAAATACTCTGAAAATTAGACATTGTATTAGATAATTTCTTTCTTTTTTTTCCTTTTGAGTTGGAGTCTCACTGTCACCCAGGCTGAAGTGCAGTGGCACACTCACGGCCACCACAGCCTCAAACTGCTGGGCTCAGGCAGTCCTTCTGCCTCAGCCTTCCAAGTAGCTGGAACTATAGGCATGCACTACCCCACCCAACTAATTTTTTTTTTTTTTAATTTATTGTAGAGGTGAGGTCTCACCAAGTTGCCCAGGCTGGTCTTGAACCCCTGAGCTCAGGCAGTCCTCTCGCCTTGGCCTCCCAAAATACTGGGATTACAGGCTTGAGCCACTGCGCCCAGCAGATTAGATAATTTCTTTTTTTTTTTTTTTTTGAGTTGGTGTCTCACTCTGTCGCCCAGACTAGAGTGCAGTGGCCACTCCCGGCCACCGCAGCCTCAACCTGCTGGGCTCCAGCAATCCTTCCGCCTCAGCCTTCTGAGTAGCCGGAATTATAGGCATGCGCTACCACGCCTGGCTGATTTTTTGATTTATTGTAGAGATGAGGTCTCACTGCCCAGGTGGGTCTCGAACCCGCGGGCTCAGGTAATCCACTCACCTCAGTCTCCCAAATGTGCAGGATTACAGGCTGAGCCACCAAGCCCGGCTAGATAATTTCTTAAACTCATCTTGGCTCTAATATTCTAGAACTTTATGTAGTCTGGAAGCACAGAGTGAAGGATCTTGAAATCTGGAGACAGACAGACCTGGATTCAAATCCCAGCTATGCCTCTCAGAAGTTGTGTAACTCTGGGCATGTCATGTAATCTCTCTGAGCTTTAATTTTCTCATTGATAAAAGAAACAATTGCAATTCCAGCTGCCCCCGTGGATGATTAGAACCCATCTGTTCCTTTGAAGATGGGCTGCAGAGAAGCTGAGAGGTCAGCTTAGCAAACCTGTGCTGACCTTGTGGCATGTTCCTGACTCAGCTGGACCCTGTGGTGGACACATACACTGCTTTGGAAGGTTGCGGTGGGAGAATTGCTTGAGCAAGGGGTTTGAGACCAGCCTGGGCAAAATCTGAAATTTTTTTTAAAGCTTAACTAGGGATGGTGGCATGTACCTGTAGTCCCAGCTACTTGGGATGCTGAAGCAGGAAGATTGCTCGAGCCCAAGAATGTGAGGCTGCAGTGAGCCATGATCATGCCACTGCACTCCAGTCTGGGTGACAGAGTGAGACCCTAACTCTATTTTTTTCAAGTTACATGCACTCTGGTCACTGTGATGCCCACAGGATGGGGACTCCAGCTGGGCCACTATGTCTTTGGGGGTAACATCACCTGTGGAGGACATCATTGTGGAGATCAGTAAGACAGGAAGCCTGCACCTCTACCTGGAGCATGGCAACTCTCCTGTCTCTTTGGCTGGTCTCCAGGCTCGCGCTTTCTCTCTCTCTTTCTCTCTCTCTCGGACTCATCCTCCCACAGCAGCTATAGTGAGCTTCCTAAAACCCACACATGACCAGGCCACCCCCCTTCCTGAAGATTTTCAGTGGCTTCCCATTTGACGGTAAGCTGAAGTACAAATGCCTTGAGATGGCACAAAAGGCTCCAGGATTCATCTTCTCTTTCCTCATTTTCCCCTTGAAACTGCTGGTTAGCCATGTGGAATTGTGGGCAGCTCCCCAAGCACCAGCTCTCCAACATTTCCAAGTCTTTGCATACATCCATGCCTGAAATGCAACCTCCCCTCTTCTGACTGATGTCCCCACTATCCTTCTTACCTAACCTCATGGGCAACCATTCAATATATATAATGTGTATCTTTCTGTGTTCTGGTAAGCTCTGTAAATCTCTATGCTTGTTTTGTGTGCATAGTTTTTGGTTTTTTGATTTTTTTTTCTTAGTTTTTGTTTTGTTTTGTTTTGTTTTTCTGGAGTCAAAGTCTCACTCTGCTGCCCAGGATGGAGTGCAGTAACACTACTACAGTCTCCAACTCCTGGGCTCAGGCGGTCTTTTCACCACCTTAGCCTTCTGAGTATCTAGGTCTACAGGTGCATGCCAACATATCTGGCTAATTATTTGTAGAGACAAGGTCTTGCTGTGTTGCCTAGGCTCGTCTCAAACTCCTGGGCTCAAGCAGTCCTCCCGCCTAGGCCTCCCAAAGTACTGGGATTACAGGTGTGAGCCACTGTGCCGGGTTTGTGCATGTATTTTTAAGATACAAATGGTGCTGTGTCATGTAGCACATTCTATTTCTTACTTTTTCACACTCAGTGTTAGGTTTTTTTTTAAGATCCTTCACAATGCTATGGTGGACATCCTTGTCTATGTGCCCTTGTTGGCCTATGTGACTCTCTTTGGGAGAGATTGCCGGCTTTCCAGGTTGACTGACCACACCCGCACCTCCATACATAGTGCTTCAGGGCATCCATAGCTCTATATCCCGCCAATTCTCTGTATTATGCGCTTCTGATTTTGCCCATCTAATAGGTACAAAGTGGCAGCTGGTTTGTGTGGTATGTGTGTGGAGGATGATTTGGGGCAGAAGAGAGTAGGAATGACACATGAAATAAAATGGAATATGACTCACACCTATAATTCCAGCACTTTGGGAGGCCAAGGCAAGTGGATTGCTGGAGGTCAGGAGTTCAAGACTAGCCTGGGCAACATAGACCTCATCTCTACAAAATATTTAAAACATAGCCTGGTGTGTTGGCACATGTCTGTAGTGCCAACTACTCAGGAGACTGAAGCAGCCTCCTAAACCCAGGAGTTCAAGGTTGCAGTGAGCCATGATTACAGCACTGCCCTCCAGCCTGGAGGAGGAGTACAACATAGCTAGACTCTGTCTGAAAAAAGAAAGGAAAGGAAAGGAAAAATAGAGAAAAGGAATGACTCAGATGAAGAAACTCTAGGAAGGAAAAGGCTAATTTTCTCTGTTTAGATCATTTCAGGAAAAAGGAAATGACAGATTAAGTTTCTGCTCTATGGAACTAACAAGCAAGTAGACTATTAATACAATATCAGATAGTAAATGCTCTGAAGTAAATAAAACAGGGCAATGAGCCAGAAAGTGATGGGGGAGCCTTTAGCATGGGTGACTGGAAGGAAGCAACATTTGAACAGAGACTAGAATGATGAACTGTGCAAAAGATTTTGCTGAAGAATATTTCAGGTAGTGACAGCTATTGTTTTAATTTTTATTTCTCTGATTACTAATGAGTCAGAGCATGTCTTTATCTACTTGTTCACATTTTGGATTTCCTCTTTTATAAGTTGCCTGTTTATGTTCTTTGCCCTTTTTCTTGAATTTACTGCCTTTTTCTTGTGGGTTTGAATATTTGCTGATAAATTCTGTATACAGATCCCTTGTTGACTCTTGTTTTTCCTCACCGGCTTTAGACATTGCAATAGTTCTGACTTTTCTATTCCTCAGACACACCAGCTCCCCTGCCCTTGGACCTTTGTCCTTGCATCTCTCTCTGCCTGCTATGTTCCTCTCCCAGATACTTGCAGTCAGGGGTTTCACAGCATTAGGCTCTCAGATGCCACCTCCTCAGACACATCCCTCCACCAGACACATGCCATTACATCATCCGGTTTGGCTAGCATCCTGACCATATCACCATTATCTCACTCACTCATTGTTTGCTTGCTCATGGTCTGCCATAGTAGCTAAGGATATGCTCCAGTCAGTCTTAGTCAATCTAACCTCAACCCCTAATGCAGTGTCTGGCACACAGTAGGTCCTCAGTTAACATCTGCTGAATGAATGAATTATGCCCCAGTCTCTGGGAGTGGAGCGAGGAAAAATCTGAAGGTAAGGCGAAGAGAGGTGCACTTCAAGTGACACTTCAAAGGAGGACAAGTTAACATTTGTTGAGTTTTTATCATGGGCCAGGCACTGTGCCAAGCACTTCGTATGAGTTATTGTAGTAGTCCTGATAATAATCCTATGAGGTGAATATTCTTATTTTCCTATTTATGAGATGAGGAAACTGAGGCAGAGAGATGAGCTGTCCAGGCTCCCAAAGTTAGAAAATGGCAGAGAAGAAACCAGGACCCAGGAAGTCCCTAGATGGGGTTCTTAAACCACTGCACATACTGCTTCTTAAGAGAAGGAGACAGGCGAGGAAATGAGTGTGGCATCCTTATTATTGGAGAAGTCTGGCCCTCCCAGAGAAGGCATTGAGGATGGGAGGCAGGGAGGAAAATGATGTCTCCCCTATGGCACTGGTGAGGCCCAGAGAGGATAAATGACCAGCCCCCGCTGCGGGTGAGCCAACCTCCCCGGTTCGCGGCGACTTCACGATCCCCTTCCACTTTCTCTTGGCAGAGACCGGGTGGCGCGCATCGGGCTGGGCGTGATCCTGAACCTGGCGAAGGAGCGCGAACCCGTGGAGCTGGCGCGGAGCGTGGCAGGCATCTTAGAGCACATGTTCAAGCACTCGGAGGAGACGTGCCAGCGGCTGGTGGCATCCGGAGGCCTGGACGCGGTGCTGTACTGGTGTCGCCGCACGGACCCGGCGCTACTGCGTCACTGCGCGCTGGCGCTGGCCAACTGCGCGCTGCACGGGGGCCAAGCGGTGCAGCGACGCATGGTGGAGAAGCGCGCCGCCGAGTGGCTCTTCCCGCTCGCCTTCTCCAAGGAGGACGAGCTGCTCCGGCTGCACGCCTGCCTCGCGGTGGCGGTGTTGGCAACCAACAAGGAGGTGGAGCGCGAGGTGGAGCGTTCCGGCACGCTGGCGCTTGTGGAGCCGCTGGTGGCCTCGCTGGACCCTGGCCGCTTCGCCCAATGCCTGGTGGATGCCAGCGACACAAGCCAGGGCCGCGGGCCTGACGACCTGCAGCGACTTGTGCCGCTGCTCGACTCGTCGCGCTTGGAGGCGCAGTGCATCGGGGCTTTCTACCTCTGCGCGGAGGCTGCCATCAAGAGCCTGCAAGGCAAGACCAAGGTGGGTGCAGGTAGGGAGAAAAGTGGGCCAGGGGTCAGAGAGCGCCTGGGAAGGCTTCCCAGAGGAAGTGGCATTCCCAGGCGCTCTCTGACCCAGAGGAAGTGACATTCAACTGGGACTTGAGGCAGGCATAAGAATTAGGTGAAGCAAGATGAGAGGCTAGTTATTTTGGCCTTGAAGGTAAGAACCAAAGTTTGAACTTGGTCTTAGGGGGCAAGAGGAAGGCACAGAAAGTTGGGGGTTTTTTTGGTTTTTTGTTTTTTGAGTTGGAGTCTCACTCCGTTGTCCAGGCTGGAGTGCAGTGGCATGCTCGCCGCCACCCCAGCGTTGACCTGCTGGGCTCAGGCGATCCCTTCCGCCTCAGCTTTCCAAGTAGCCAGAATTACAGGTGCACGCTACCATGCCTGGCTAATTTTTGATTTATTGTAGAGACGAGGTCTCGCCATGTTGCCCAGGCTGTTCTCGAACCCGTGGGCTCAGGCAATCCCTTCACCTCGGCCTCCCAGAGTGCTGGGATTACAGGTTTGAGCCACGGCACCTGCCAACACAGAGAGGTTTTTTAGCAGGGGACAAAGATCACCCTGACTGTTGTGTGGAAAGGGGCTTGATAAGGGTGAGACTGGAGGCAAGGAGACCCAAAAGGAGGTTACGACTTGGGGGTAGGAGGTTGAGATGGTGGAGGCAGAGGTCTCAGTAGAGAGCAGGCAGATAGAGAGCAGGCAGATTCAAGAGGTGGAACTAGGACTTGGTGACTGGGTGAAGGAGACAGAGGAGCTGAGGATGACCCCTGGCCATGAACAGAGGTAACCCAATGGATGAGGGGAACTGGTGAGAGACAGGTTGAATTGGGAGAGGGAAAGAAAATGAATTCAGTGGGACATATGGAGTCTGACGTTGCATGAGAGCTGGCCAGCTGGAGAGCTTCAGAGGACAGTGTAGCTATTTGAATCTGGAGTCTGGGAAGATGGCTGCTGGAGACAGGGGCTTGGGGCAGGACATCAGTGTGTCAGCCAGATAACCCCCAACTGCCTTGTTTTTATCCTCTGGAAAACTGAAGGAGTTGGACCACAGCAGCAGTTCTTACTGGGATATGGGACTAATGATAGTTTCATTACCAAAAGTTTGTGGGGGGGGGTTGTTGTTGTTGTTTTGACATGGTCTTGCCATATTGCCCAAACTGGTCTTAAAACTCCTAGGCTCAAGTGATCCTACTGATTCAGCCACCTCAGGACCTGGGAGTACAGGCACATGCCACCGGACCCAGCTACATTTTGCTTTTTAAATAGTATAGATTCAAGATTAACCCTATATTGTCACTCTTCTTCTTTTCTTTTCTTTTTTTTTTTTTTTTTTTTTTTTGAGTTGGAGTCTCACTCTGTCACCCAGGCTAAAGTGCGGTGGCACACTCACAGCAACCCCAGCATCGACCTGCTGGGCTCTGGCAATCCTTCCACCTCAGCCTTCCAAGTACCCAGAACTACAGACACGCGCTACCATGCCTGGCTAATTTTTGATTTATTGTAGAGACGAGGTCTCGCCATGTTGCCCAGGCTGGTCTCAAACCCACGGGCCACTCTCTTTTCTTTGCATTTCTCTGTGGGGTCTTGGGGGTTGGTAACAATTAGTTCACAGTGTATGGTGCCCAGCATGTCTGCACCACTGCTATTATCTGGGACCCTCAGAGGAGTGTGTCTCATAGATGATTGTCACCCATCATGTGTGTCCCTGCCAATCAAGTAGAGACTGCTATGTCAGGGGTCTCTAAGACCTCATCCAACATCCAATGTTCTAAAAACATCAAAACATTCTTCTCTTTGCACCTAGAGTTGGGCCATAGGAGGTGTTGCCTATTAAGTCTTGCTGTGCTTTGAGAGAAGGAACTTGAAGGGAAGGGAGTGAGGACCCCAAGATTTGGATCTAGGCAGTAGCCATGATCACCAGCCCTGTCACTTCTTTCCCATCAAGCTGAGTGCAGTTCAACAAAGACCTATTGAGCCTCTACTTTGTAGCCTTCATTATGCCAGGTACAGGGCTCCAGCAATGACTAAGACATGCCCTCAGATTATACTCCAGTGGAAGTTGCATTAAGTGGCATTCAGAGTGTGGTATGAGTCCTAATTGGAAGTCCAGGCCAAGCCGTGAGGGAATCAAAGCAGACTGCCTGGAGGAGGTGCTGATCAATTTAAATTTTGGTGAATGAGTAGGAGTCCCATGAGTAGGCTAGAAGAACTAAGATTTTGGGAACAGGGTGGGCTGAGATCCAGAGGTGAGAGAGCCTTGGTGGGTGTGTGTGGGGGCAGGTTTCAGATGAGTGTAAGTTGGTGGAAGGCAGGTAAGCTGTGGGTGGGGGAAGGGGCTGCAGTGTGCCCGCCTGGCAGCCATGCTGAGAGCTCAGACTTTATCCCAGGGCCAGTGGAAGCTGTAGAAGGGACACAAGAGTTGGGAGGACCCGGGTACTTGGTGGCCGAAGGCAGGGCCAGGGCAGATAGTGGGACTTTTAGCGGTGAGACGAGGCCAGTGGGGGACTGGGCATGACTGGACACAGCTAAGGAGCTGGTGGACCCTAGACGCCCTCTCCCTCACGCCCTCCCTAGCTGTTCAGCGACATCGGCGCCATCCAGAGCCTGAAGCGCCTCGTCTCCTACTCCACCAACGGCACCAAGTCGGCGCTGGCCAAGCGCGCGCTTCGCCTGCTGGGCGAGGAGGTGCCGCGGCCCATCCTGCCCTGCGTGCCCAGCTGGAAGGAGACCGAGGTCCAGACGTGGCTGCAGCAGATCGGCTTCTCCCAGTACTGCGAGAGCTTCCGGGTAGAGCCGCGAGGGGCCTCCTCCCCCGAGACGGAGGGGTCGCCCTGGGCACAAGCGTCTGCGCCCGCTCCTGGCCTGCACGCCCGCGGCGCCGGGGTGGCCTTTTGAGGGTGGGGATCCTGTACTCAGCCACACCGGGGGTCACTCGGCTGGTCCCATCCGCCTCCTACACCGCCATCTCCAGTTCCCTCCCCTGGCATCTTGTGCTTCTTCCTTACACCTGACCCCTCCCCCAGGAGCAGCTGGTCGATGGCGACCTGCTTCTGCGGCTCACGGAGGAGGAACTCCAAACCGACCTGGGCATGAAATCGGGCATCACCCGCAAGAGGTACGGAGCCTCCTGTCCGCCCGACCCCCGCCGGGTCTAACTAACCGCCCCCTCCGGGCCTCAGCGTCTTCTCCTCCGCGGGATGCAGGTTTTTTAGGGAACTCACGGAGCTCAAGACCTTCGCCAACTATGCTACGTGCGATCGCAGCAACCTGGCCGACTGGCTGGGCAGCCTGGACCCGCGCTTCCGCCAGTACACCTACGGCCTGGTCAGCTGTGGCCTGGACCGCTCCCTGCTGCACCGCGTGACGGAGCAGCAGCTCCTGGAGGACTGTGGCATCCGCCTGGGCGTGCACCGCGCCCGCATCCTCACGGCCGCCAGAGGTCTGCCCGCCCACCCCTAGCCCGCCCCAGCCCCAGTCCCAGCCCCAGCCTCAGTCTTGGAGGAGTAAGAGGAGACTCTGGGTGGAGCCTCACAGGCTCCCTGCGGGTTGATTGAGCACATATGTGAGGCAGACTGGGCTCTGGGGTTGTAAAGACTTTGCCCTCTACAAGTTCCCAGTCTGAGGTGGGCGGGAGAGTGGGAGGAAGGCAAGTATTGAAATAGGCAGGGGCCCCAGCAGGAAGCATGTCCCGGCTCCAGTGGGAGCCCAGAGAAGCGCAGCCTACCCTGACTACCCAGGTCTAGACTTCAGAGAAGAGGAGAGGCCTGGCCATGTTTTCAGGGGTGTATGGGGATGTGGGGGGTGGCAACAGGAAGGGCAGCCCAGGCAGAGGGGGCAGATATGCAAGCATGGAGATAGGACACAGCATGGAGGGTGCATGTGAGGGGTGTGTGTGTGTTGGGGGTGTTATCCTATTAGCCAACAGTTTACAACGTATGGGTTCTGGAGGTGTTTTCAAGTGAATTCTAGGGCTCTAGCAGCCCTCTTTATTCACTCATTTATTTGCACTTACTAATTTACTATTTAGCCAGTTGTCAATTTTTATATGCCAGGTACGTGTACTAAGTGTTTAAGATATAATCTTTTTCTTTTGGAGTCAGAGTCTCACTCTGTCACTCAGGCTATCCTTCTACCTCAGTCTTTCAAGTAGCTGGAACTACAGGCATGTGTCACCATGCCCAGCTATTTTTTTGGTATTGTAAAGATGAGGCCTCACCATGTTGCCCAGGCTGGCCTTGAACCTGTGGGCTCAGACAATCCTCTTGCCTCAGCCTCCCAAAGTGCTGAGATTACAGACGTGAGCCACCATGCCCAGCTATCTCATTAATCTCTACATTGATTCTCTGCAGTGAGTGTTAAAGTTTTTAACCAATTTAAACAAATTTCTAAAGGATAAAAACAAGCATAAGTAAACGTGAAAGTGTCCGGTTTGAGGAGTTTTGAAAAATGTAAACTCCCTGTATAATCCCCATCATAATCAAAGATATAGAACATTTCCATCATGGGTGTTAATTTGAAAGATAATGAAACTATGATTTAAAGGATTTAAGTACATTTCCCAAGGTTACAAAAGTCAATAAATGACAGAACTGGGATGTAAGCCCTTGTCTTTCTGCTTCAAAAACAGATAAATGTTGCACCTCACCCTCCAGAATTGCTAAGGGCTACAGGTGCATGTCACAACTCCCACCAATTTTGGGGGGGTTTTTTTTGTAGAAACAAGGTCTTGCTCTGTTGCCCAAACTGGTTTCAAACTCCTCGCCTCAAGCAATCCTTCCACCTCAGCTTCCCAAAATGCTGGGATTACAGGTGTCAGTCACTGCACCCGGCAATTCTTTTCATTTTATCCATTCATTCAGTGAGTGCATGCTAAGCACTTCTGAGGGACAAGGGACTGTGCATTGTCTCTATTCTTATGCTCCAACCAAAGCAGGTCGGCTTTTATCATTTTATGTTACAGCCCCCAATAAAATTCCAAGATTTCATTTTTAAACAACAGAAGAGTCCTGGGGCATAAATAGTGACGAAAATAGCTTGTACAGGGAGTAGGGAGCCATGCACAATTTTTAGGTGGGGACAATGACATGCTCAGATTTGGATTTTAGAAAGATCCTCTGGTGGCTGCAGTAAATGGAGATGGATTAAACTGGGCGATCCTAGCTAGATATGGAGAGGCCATTGAGGAGGCTGAAGTCTAGGATGTTTAGCAGGTGGAATCCCCCAAACATAGTGCCTGGCTTCCACCACTAAGCTCCACGAAGACAGAGTTTTGCCTGTTTTGCTCACTGCACTAAGGATGGTGCCCGACACACAGTATGTGCTTAGTGAATATTTGTTCTTTTTCTTTTCTTTTTTTGAGTCAGAGTCTCACTCTGTCACTCAGGCTTGAGTGCAGTGGCATAATCATGGCTCACCGCAGCCTTGACCTTCTGGGCTCAGGCGATCCTTTGCCTCAGCCTCCTGAGTAGCTGGGACTATAGGTACATGACACCATGCCCAGGCAATTTTCAGATTTTTTGATTTTTGCCCAGTCTGGTCTCAAACTCTTGGGCTCAAGTAATCCTCCTGCCTCAGGCTTCTGAAGTGCTGGGATTACAGGCGTGAGCCACCGTGCCCGGCCAGTAAATGTTTGTTAAATAAACGAATGGGAGACAGGAGTTGAAGCTGATATCCAGGCTTCTGACTTTGGTAGAAAACTGAGAGGGAGTGAGGGGAAGATGTGGGATGTGTTGAGTTTGGAGTGGGCAGTCGGCTGTGCGGGTCTGGAATTCCGGAGAGGGGGCAGGGCTGGAAGTGCTTATCCATGTCCCTAAAACACGATGCCTGCCTCCTGAAAGGAACGCATCAGTATTTACTGTCTTCCTTCCTGGAGACCCCACCTCTCCACCTCAGTGACCTTTTTGGAGCAGGCTACCATCCAGGCTGGGCTGAGAGGGCTGGGTGGACAAGAGGCTAAGTCCCCTGGGGGTGATGCACTTCATGGTGAGTGATGGGGAGAAGCTACTCTCAGCATGCTGTCTCTTGTCCACTTCAGAAATGCTACACTCCCCACTGCCCTGTACTGGCTGCAAGTCCAGTGGGGACACCCCGGATGTCTTCATCAGCTACCGCCGGAACTCAGGCTCCCAGCTGGCCAGGTGAGGAGGGATAGGCAAGCAGCCTGGGACTTTGGGGCAGGGACGTGGCACTGACATAGGACCTGCTTGCAGCCTCCTGAAGGTGCACCTGCAGCTGCACGGCTTCAGTGTCTTCATTGATGTGGAGAAGCTGGAAGCGGGCAAGTTTGAGGACAAGCTCATCCAAAGTGTCATGGGTGCCCGCAACTTTGTGCTAGTGCTGTCAGCCGGGGCACTGGACAAGTGCATGCAGGACCATGACTGCAAGGACTGGGTGCACAAGGTAGGTGCTGGCCTCACCTCTGTGGTCCAGGCATTGACCTGTGGCCCCGAAGACAGGGTCCTCCTTCCATTCCGTCTGCACATCCAGCAATACTTAGCCCTGAAGCACCTCCCTGGCACAGCTGGAAGCCAGGAACCACAGCTGTCACTGTAACAGGACTTTAGCAAGTCACTTAGACCCTCTGAGCCTCAGTTTTCTTATCTACAAAATGGGGATATCTTACCTGTTCTACCCACCTTGCAGGATTGTTTGTGAGGGTCAAAGAGGAATAAAAATGCTTTGAAAAATAACTTCTGTGAGAGACAGAAGAGCGAAGGGACAGGCAGAATGGAATCATTGTTGAGAGCACAAAACAGAATTTGAATCCTGGCTCTGGTCTTTTTGAATCTGGCTCTGGAAGCTACTTAACCCTGATGGGCTTCATATTCATTACTGAAATGTGGGGAAAATAATAGTACCTAACTCCCTAGGGTATTGTTATAAGGATTAAAAGGGCTAAAAGTTGTGAATTGTTTAGCAGAATTCCTGGCACATAGTAATTTCTCAATAATGGTACCAATTATCATTCTTAATATAATTATTATGACTACTCCATCTGTTTAATTTGCCATTATATCTTCAGTGCCTGACACATTGTAGGAACTTATTGAATACTTTTGATCCATCTCACATCTTCAGGTTATTAATCATTTATCAGTCAGTAGGAATTGGGGTTGGGACTAAGGGAGGCAGTAGCCATGTGAGATGAGATCCTTTTCCTCAATGAGCTGAGGAGACAAGAAAATGCCCACAGTGACTAGATCGTATACAAGTTGGTGTAAATGCTAAGCCAGGTAAGCAAACCTCTTGCTTGCTATAGAAGTATGAAGAAAGGAGAGAGCATTGGGGGCTGAAATAATCAGAGAAGGCTTCATGGAGGAAAGAGAACTTGAGAAGAGTCTTTTTCTTTTGGAATTGGAGTCTCACTCTGTCGCCCAGACTGGAGTGCAGTGGCCACTCCCGGCCACCGCAGCCTCGCCCTGCTGGGCTCCGGCGATCCTTCCGCCTCAGCCTTCCAAGTAGCCGGAATTACAGGCATGTGCTACCACGCCCGGCTGATTTTTTGATTTATTGTAGAGATGAGGTCTCGCTGCCCAGGCGGGTCTCGAACCCGCGGGCTCAGACAATCCACTCACCTCAGCCTCCCAAAGGTGCGGGATTACAGGCTGAGCCACCGAGCCCGGCTGAGAAGAGTCTTAAGAATGGAGGTAAGTGGAAGAGAAGCCATCCCAAGCAGTGGAAACAGCATGAGCAAAGGAATAACGGTAGGGAGGACAAAGGTGCCAAAACCCTACATGCATCACTTACAGTATTGCCTTCTCCATCTCACAGATAAGGAAACTGAGGCTCAGAGAAGTACAATAATTCTCCCATGGCCACACTACTAGAAATCGGAAAAGCTGGGCTTCAAGCTCTACCTATCTGACTCCAAAGCCCATACTCTTTCCCAGTATCCACACTGTATTCCATGGCAAGGATCTGAGGGGGTGTGAGGGGAAGGGCTGGGATCAGGTTGGATTCAGCCAACACCAGTGATGATTGTCTGCATCTCTTCTCTTCTCTCTCTTTTTTTTTTGAGTTGGAGTCTCACTCTGTCACCCAGACTAGAGTGCAGTGGCCACTCCCGGCCACCGCAGCCTCAACCTGCTGGGGTCCAGCGATCTTTCCGCCTCAGCCTTCCGAGTAGCCGGAATTACAGGCATGTGCTACCACGCCTGTCTGATTTTTTGATTTATGGTAGAGATGAGGTCTCGCTGCCCAGGTGGGTCTCGAACCCGTGGGCTCAGGCAATCCACTCACCTCAGCCTCCCAAAGGCGCAGGATTACAGCCTGAGCCACTGAGCCCAGCTGCATCTCTTCTCAACTCCACATTCGGTGATGTCATCTTGGTAGCTTGAAATCAGGTGTGAGGATATTGGCAGTATTTACACCAAGGGTATTGGCAGCTAATACAAATCAGGGTTTGAGTTTTTTGTTTGGTTGTTTGGTTGGTTGGCTTCCCCCCTCTTGGAGAGCTAGTTGTTATACATTTACCAACTCACTACTAGATAAGAACTATGGAACCAGGTTATGGAGTATTTAAAGGCAGGGAGAAGACCTGTACTTAAAGCACTGGGAAACAGGACTGGGCGCAGTGGTTCAAGCCTGTAATCCCAGCACTTTGGGAGGCCGAGGTGAGAGGATTGCCTGAGCCCGTGGGTTCGAGATCAGCCTGGGCAACATGGTGAGACCTAGTCTCTACAATAAATAAATAAATAAAATTAGCTGGGCATGGTAGCATGTGCCTGTAGTTCCTGGAAGGCTGAGGCGGAAGGATTGCCTGAGCCCAGCAGGTCAAGGCTGCAGTGGCTGGGAGCATGCCACTACACTCCTGTCTGGGCGACAGAGTGAGACTCCAACTCAAAAAAAAAAAAGTCCCTGGGCTTCCTTCTCTTCATCTGTAAAGTGGAGTGGCTCTCCAGAAAGCCAAGGTGGAAGTCACATATGTTTTTTCCCCCCAGGAAGGCTCCACTCCCCAAGGGTGCTTGGCACCCACTGTGGTCCCAGCGGATGGTAAGGAGAGGGTGGCAGACGGGTGACAGGAGCCTTTGCCGTGGGTCAGTCCCAAAGGCTCCATCATCCCTCTCTGGTTGTTTCTAGTGCTTAATTGCCTCTGATTTTTAAAACTCCTTTCCCTGAAGCTACATTTAGTAAACAATCAATATGGAAACCACAAGTGAACTGCACTCAAGTCCAATCCCTGAGGTTCCCCCTTGAAAGGAAAAGAACATTCAATAAGCACTTACCAGAGCACCATGAAGTCAGTAACATCCTCAGAACAACTTTGTGAGGTAGCTTTTATTATCCCTACTTAATGGAGGAGGAAATCATAAACCTAGTATGTATTAAGCATACGCTATATGCCAAGTGCTGTTCTAGTCACTTGCCATGGAATATTGCATTTATTCTATGCAACAATCCTATAAGATGATAAGACTGTCATTAACCCTGATTGATTGATTGATTGATTGATTGAAAACAGGGTCTTGCTCTGTGACCCAGGCCAGAGTGCAGTGGCACAATCATAACTCACTGTAACCTCAAACTCCCAGGCTCTAGTATCCCTCCTGCCTCAACTTCCCAAGTAGCTAGGAGCACAGGCATGCACCACTATGCCCGGCTAAGGTTTTATTTTTTATAGAGACAGGCTCTCACCATGTTGCTCGGACTGGTCTCACACTCATGGCCTCAAGCCATCCTCCCCACTCATCCTCCCAAAGTGCTAGGATTACAGCCGGTCTAGACATGTTTTATATATTAGAAAATAGAGACTTTGAGAGCCTGTTATTTTTGCCTCAGGTCACAGAGCCTGTGTCAGAGACTTGATGTGAATCCAGATCTGATAATTCCAGAGTGCAGCCCCTACCTGCTGTGCTATGTTGGCTCATTCATCCATCCATTAAACATTTAGCAAGAACTGACTGTAGGCTTTGTGAAAGATGCTGAGATACATGGTGAGTAAAAAAGAGATATGGGGCCAGGCACAGTGGCCCATGCTTATAATCCCAGCACTTTGGGAGGCTGAGGTGAGAGGATTGCTTGAACCCAGGTGTTCGAGACCAGCCTGGGCAACTTGGCAAGACCTCATCTTTACAATAAATCAAAAAATTAGCAGGGTGTGGTGGTGTATGCCTGCAGTTCCAGCTACTTGGAAGGCTGAGGTGGAAGATCAACTGAGCCCAGCAGGTCGAGGCTGTGGTGGCCATGAGCATGCGACTGCCCTCCAGCCTGGGCGATAAGAGTGAGACTTCCGTTCAGGAAAAAAAAAAAAAATAGACATGGGCTGGTCATGGTGGCACATGCCTGTAATTTCAGCACTTTGGGAGGCTGAGGCAGGAGGATTGCTTGAACCCAGGTGTTCGAGACCAGCCTGGGCAACTTGGCAAGACCTCATCTTTACAATAAATCAAAAAATTAGCAGGGTGTGGTGGTGTATGCCTGCAGTTCCAGCTACTTGGAAGGCTGAGGTGGAAGATCAACTGAGCCCAGCAGGTCGAGGCTGTGGTGGCCATGAGCATGCGACTGCCCTCCAGCCTGGGCGATAAGAGTGAGACTTCCGTTCAGGAAAAAAAAAAAAAATAGACATGGGCTGGTCATGGTGGCACATGCCTGTAATTTCAGCACTTTGGGAGGCTGAGGCAGGAGGATTGCTTGAACCAAGGAGTTCAAGACCAGATGGGCAACAAAGCGAAACCTCATCTCTACAAAAAAAAAAAAAATCAGAAAAATTGACCAGGTTTGGTGGTGCATTCCTAGTAGTCCCAGCTATTCCAGCCTGGGTGACAGAATGAGACCCCCAATTCAAAAACAAATAAACAAACAAAAACAAGATATGGTTCCTGCTTTTATATTTGGCAGAGAAGATAAAAATTGAGCTAATTAATTAATTAAATTTTGCAACTGTAGCATGTGCTGCAGAGACTATAAGAGTCTATAATAGGGGAATGTGACTTGGTTGTGGAAGTGGAGGACAACTTCCCTGGGAAAGTGTTGATTGAACTCAGATCAGAGAACAAGTGGGCATTATCAAGGTGAAGGGCTAGGAGGACAGAGTAGGGGTGGAGTTCGAGAAGTGGGCTGTGGTCAACCATACAGGGCCATGAGGTCACATGAAAGAGTTTGGACTTTATTCCAAGAGTCATGTAAAGTCTGGAAGAGTAGGTGGTGACATGGTCAGATTTGTCATGGGTGCATTTTACAAAGATTAGCTAGGTGAATGGGCAACATGGAGAATGAATTAGAGGAGGCAAGTGTGGGTGAGAAGGGACCTGGTAGGGGCTTAAGATAATGGGGGTTGGAGCAGACAGTGGTAGAGTGGAGGCAGGGGAAAAGGGTGGATTTGAGAAATAGGTAAGGAGTTACAACTGTCAGGGTGCATGGTGAATCAATTTGGATGTAGGGATGTGATGTTTTTCTTCTGACCAAGTTGTGTGAGGTTTTTCCCACACCAGTAACTAATTCTCTAATTTCCCAACACCAACTGGGTGTCCCACCATTCACTTTAGTTCTGAAGTGTCAGACTCCATAGGTGTAAAAGCTCAGTCCTACAGATTGTCCTCACTTTAGACACCAGCCAAAAGTCTCAGATACCCAGGCTACCATACTTCTATCTGATTTGGTTACAAATTTGGGAGTTCTCATGACATGCCTCCCCCAAGGTTCAATAGTTCATTAGAACAGCTCAGGAAGACACTTTACTATTAGTGGTTTCTTATGTCAAACTTAAATAATGAGATTCAGAGAATATGAGTTTATCTGAATACAGAACTTGAGGATGGCCACCCAGCAAGCAATGACTCCAAACAAACAGGGTGAGCATTGCAAAGTGGAGAAATTAAGGTTTCTGCCAGGCTCGGTGGCTCAGCCTGTAATCCCATGCTTTGGGAGGCTGAGGTGAGTGGATTG